ACATGTAATTTCTGGTTTATTGTAATATTGATATTTTCAAATAAGTCTTATCTATCACCTTAAAATGTATCCAATGAGTCTTAAATACTCATACTCAATGAAATGTAAATATATGAAAAACTATTCTACAAAGTTTACATTTTCTCCTTGAACTTATGTTTCCATTACACTTTCCCCACAGAAATTTATTCTAATGCAATGTATCTTATGCTTTAAAGTCTTTTTTAACATCCCATCATGCTTCTCTGCAAAATATGTACATTGAAATTTTGTTGTTTTAGTTCTTGTGACATTAAGACTGTATTAACATTTCTTCAGAACTAAGTCAGCATTATAATTGTTATTAGTATACAATTAACCAAAACATACATATTATATATATTTCATAGCTAATTTTTAATTATAATAATTTTTGGAAAGTGCTTCTATTAATTTGATGGATAGGCTGGTTTGTCCCCTGGTTAGTTCACATATTCACTGGTGAATATTATTGATTACTAGAATAAGACAAGCTTAAGCATCAATTTTGTTCATATGCTTTTCTTTACATATAATACTGAGTGTTTACACAAATAAGGAGATGGGAAAGGAAAGTGTTTTGTTATAGCAATGTTACTCAAATCTTTGAACTTCTTCTGAATTATAAACCCAGAATCATAGATAATTTATCATCAAAATTTAATTTTATTAAGTTGAAGCTGACAATTTTATTAGGTCTTCCTTCAATTTTGTTAATAGCAAAGAATTGGAAATCACCTAACCTGCAAAAGAATTTGTAATCCAGTCATTAATAGCCATTTACTGTCTCTAACCCCAGCATCAACATTTTGAAATATGATTAGTTTAATGCTCTAGATGTGTAAAAGGGATGTGTAAAAGCCTCTAGGGCATTAAACTAACCCCAAGTAAGATTCCAGATGGTTGAAAGGTATTCCATTCTTTTAACAAGTGGATGAAGCGTGATTGGAAAATGGGAGGTGGGAAAAGAGGCCAAGGGACATTCTCAGGCAGATTCACTTTAGTAAAGAATATTTGTGGAAATTGAGGATCTCAGAAAAGCTTTTCTAAAAACTATTCTTGCTTCCACATTTCTCAAAAAGTCTTGAGGAAAGTTCACAAACCTGTTTGAAGACCACTGTGCAATGTATCTGAACACATTGAGAGAATGAATTACTTTCAAAAAGACTTCAATAATATTACAGAAAATTAAAGTGTCCAAACATTTATCTCAATCTTCTCAACTCCCTGGATTTAATCTAAATGTAGGCATAGCCTGACTTGAGATAGCTATAGCAAGAGTTAAAGAGAAGGAGCCAACAAGGTATTCATAACAAACAGCACAGAAAGATGTGGGAGATCTTTAAGAGCCAACAAGGCTTGCTGTTAGGATTTTGCCAGTCCTTCTCTCCTTATTTTAATGAAATTCTTATAATTCCCCAAAAGGTTGAACTGGCTCTGGGTCAGACAGGACCAGAAGGTCCTCATGTTTTCTCCCTGAGGAATTCTGTAATTTTGTTGCCACAAACAAAGCTGAGGATAGGAAAGCATCTCCTTTTTCGTTGTATTTTGTTTAATATGAAAATAATTGCCTCTACTCTTGGAGACCTGGCTTAATTAGACTAATCTGATTTTCCACTGGCAAAACTAACACTAAAATGGTATTGCTCCAAGTTCTCTAATTGTAGAGCAACCACACGTTTTCTCAACAGATACGAAAGTCAAATGCTATAATGTTGGATGAGGTCATTGTGACTAGTTTGTTATAAGGCCTATTTTAAGAGACCACATGAATTTCAGTGAATATTATGCTGTGACGGGAAGCAACAGATAGAAAATTTACTGCAGAAAAAAATTATGAAGTGTTCCTATAATTTACCTAAACAGTGATGAGTTTCCATGAGTTATTTCATAGGAACTATGTTATTTGACCATAACCTTTGTTCTTTCACCCCCACAGGCCACAATATCAGACCCTGGTCTGTTTTTCCCTCTCTTAGCCACCCTCTTCTTCCCTGCTCAGCTTGAACACTATGATCAACCTTTTGATGGATACTCTCACCAGCACTCTCAGTGCTCCCTTGAACTTCTGCTTATCTATTCTGCCAAGCCCCAGCTCAGAATCAAACAACCATCTGGTTCTCTCTACTATTGCTTCTAGTTTGCCAAGTACTGCTGGAGAAAATTGTGTAACTGCTGATTCATGCCATGCCAAATCTGCAATTTCCAAATTCACCTTGACCCTTTGCACTACTTGGCAATCCTTTTATTCCTACCTGGTTGGCTTCCTTTTCCAGTGCTCAGGTGCTCTTCCAAATCTCATGTCATTACTCTTCTGAGGTTTCCTGCTATACCTCCTCAATCAAGAGACGACCTAACTTTCTACATCAGAAAAAATTTGTATTCAATTTCCCTTCCTCCCACTTCTAATGGTCATCTACATCTTAATGTGCCCTTCCCCCTGTTCCAGGGGATCATTATCATGCATCAATTATCCCCTAATACTGTTCATTGGTTTCTAAGCTATTCACTACAAACTCTATACACATTATTACAAGGCAAATATTCTCCTAGGAATTAATATTGCAAGTTAACAAACGGGCTTTGGAATGTCAGGAAACAAAAGCTGCTGATTGGCTATAGAAAACAGCACATCAAAATAGCAAGTGTTGGTCTGGCATAGGGGCTCATGCCTGAAATCCCAGCTACTTGGGAGGCTGAGGCAGGAGAATCACTTGAAACTGGGAGGCGGAGGTTGCAGTGAGCCGAGATCGTACCATTGCCCTCCAGCCTGGGCAACAAGAACAAAACTCTGTCTCAGAAAAAAAAAAAAGTGCTCTTCCTCTTTGAATCATTCATAATCATTCATAATCAAGAACAGAAATGAAGGTAAGTTGGGATGCTACCTGCCCATTAAATGTTTCAAAATTCTATCATAGTTCTGCCAACCAAGTGTCACAACATGAAATTTAGAGGCAATACTTTAGCGATCAATGCCATTTTTGTCCTGTACTATTTGCTGCCACCTGTCACATATGCAGTCAAAGATGCTACTAATGCTACTAATGATAATTCATCCAGCCAGTTTCTTTTTTTTAACTGCGAGGAGTTTTCTCACCCTCATTCAATCCAAACTTTTCATGGAAATTCCCAGGGCAACCAATGTGAATTATGTATGATTTGATATGGCTGTCCTAATTTAACATCATATTACACCACGTATCATACAAAACTTACAAGTGACATATATATGTTGTAAAGGTATTTGTAGGCCAGGCATGGTGGCTCACACCTATAATCCAGGCATTTTGGGAGGCCGAAGTAGGTGGATCATTTGAGGTCAGGAGTTCAAGACCAGCCTGGCTAAAAAGGTGAAACCCCATTTCTATTAAAAATACATTATTATTAGCTGGGTGTGATGGTGCACACCTGTAATCCCAGCTACTTGGGAGGCTGAGGCACAAGAATTGCTTGAACTCGGTAGGTGGAGGTAGAAGTGAGCTGAGACTGTGCCAGTGCACTAACAGAGCAATACTCTGTCTCAAAAAAAAAGAGAAGTATGTGTAGAGACTACCAAAGAAGTTTTGATGTACAGGATACTTAGGAGAGCTATGTATCCTATCTAACCAGAAGCAGATCTTTGTTTTGTGGGCCCCTAAAACACATAATTTGGAGAGATCTGTCTTTCCAAAAGAGAATACAAAATTATGAATACAAAATGAGGTTCAGGGCCTTTGGAAGAGGTCTGTGAAAATAAAGGGCTCTAAAGTTTAAGTTTCATTAGCCTTATATAAATCACCCTTTCTGTATCTGACCACTTAATTGAGGCATTAAGCAATCCTAAACCCAAACCAAATAAACACAAACTCACTAAAATGGAAACACCTAACATGAACCAAGCTCTGTATATAATATTACATTTCATACTCCCAACGAACCTCTCAGGTCAATATTACCATTCTCAATTTTACAAAAGCAGAAACTAAGACTCAGAAAATTTAGTAACTTGCTCACAAGCAGCCCACTACGCACAGTGAAGCTGAGATCCAAACCAAAGTCTGATAAACTAAATCTTGTGTTATTTCCATTACAATACTCTCCCTTTAATGTTTCCCACAAGACAAAAGGTTTAAGTTACTTTGGAGAATACCCCTAGAAAATGGCTGGAAGTGTTCAGTTAATACTTGACATTGACATGACTTAACTCACTTTGAGACCTTCACTAAAAATTCTGCTCTAAAACTGTGTTTAAAGGGCATGAAAAACACAAATGTATAACTGGATTATCTTCCAATAAGTGACATAGATGAAGACAAGATATCTTAAGGTCCAAAAGAAATGTGATTATAATAAAGAAGAAAATAGAAGCAGAACCAGAAAATCCTGAAGGGGGGCTAGAATTATTATACAATCTTTCAGGAAAGCGTGTGGTTATGGAAGGACATACTGATGATATGAATCTTTCACAAATTAAATCCTCTTGCTACATGTCCAGTATTCTTTTACCTGCCATTATGTAATATCAAGTTTTAGAGACTGAAAAATAATGACAGTGGCTCATATATTATATTATTCTATTACATCCATACCTTGTATTTGCCAGTTTGACCTCTTTTTTTTAAAAAAGTCTCTTAGAAGTATTCCTTCTTCCTCCTGAGGCCCCCAAAAGGTAGATGCTGTGTCTTTATCTTTTCTTTACTTGCAGAATCTGTCACTGTGCTTTACAGATAGTGGCATTTCACAGAGGTTTGTTGCCATGAAAGAAGGCGTTGATGAGTTGTTTTTGACAGTCCAACATTTTCTAACACAAAAGGAATTCCATAATGTAGATATGATGTGATTCCATCCCATTCATTCAAAGACTTCAGAATAAAACTTTGTCATTTGGCTAGATCTAAGGCAAGAACTGATCAGATGTAGTTAGTATTTCCAGTCAACAAATTGCCATTGATGTTGAAATTACTTTAAAGACTTGTTGATTATGTGGTATTAGGGCCATTGTGACCTCGCTGTAGCTAAGATCAGTCCACTGCAGCAGGAGTTTCAAGAACAGCAGCACAAAAATGATGACTTAACTGGATAGGAAAAAAGGCACATATTTTCAGGAAGGCCTCTTTATTCTTAGAAGTTACCCTTCAAGATGACAAGTGGTGCAAACTCTCCAGGATCTTACCTGCCCTCAAAAATAAGGTGAGTCTTTGACGGAAGATGCTAAATAGAAAAGAGGGTCTCTCTTTCTCTCTCTCTCTCTCAACCCAGGCTAAAGGCAGATATTATTGTGCCTCTTCCCACAGAAGTTCTAAAATAGATGACAACTACTTGAAGGAATTAAATGAGGACTTAATGCTAAGGAAGCAGGAACTGCTAGAGATGCTCAAACCTCTAGAAGATAAAAACAACCTCTTATTCCAGAAGTTAATGTCTAACTTGGAGGAAAAACAAAGGAGGTATGGGCTCTTATTCTGGACTCCTAGAGGTAAAAAGGCTAGAGAACTTAATCTCCATAGGACTGGGAATAATTACTTACAAATTTTGTTTTATCAATTACTAAAAGGTTTGGAAATTCAGCTGTAGTAGGCAAAGAATTTGTAACTACCAAGTCAGGGTGACAACAAATCCTTTATTTTCTTTTAGTAAATTAAACATGAGTCAGCCCTTATTTCATGGGGCAAGTTATAACTCTTCCTCCCCAGGCTGCCCATCCAAGAAATAGTGAAAGGCCTTTAATAGCATTAGTTTACCATGGTCACACAGATGCTTTCTTGTGCATGATCACTTTAGAATAAATAACTCTGCTTTTTCTATGCCAAGCAGTGGAATGGCAGTATTTTCTAAGCCTAGGAGCCCTCTGAATTAAGGCACGGCCTCTCTAAATATACTAGGCAGCTGAAGTCTTAACCCTTTACCAGAGCACTCACTGTACTTGAGACCCACAAACACTGTTTCCTTTCTAGTCTCAGAACATCTCACCTCAGTGAGTCTACCTTTATTCTACATCCTTATCATAAGCATCTTAAAGGACTCATATTTTTGGAGAACAAAACCCAGGCAGAAAGTTGTGGTCAAGCACCAGCTGCTTACAACTCAGCAACACAGACTTCTCTCAGAGCAAGAAACACAAAGGCTTAAAATTGTGTTCTCTCCTTAGAACTGGGGAGAAAAAAGTACAAGAACACAAACATAAAATAATTTATGCCTTTAAGGAATATTCTCTCTCACAAAGACTTGATTTTGATTCAGATTTTGTTCTAGTTGAATGGTTTGCATTCTCTGGGGCTGCGAAAGGATATCAGTGACTTCCCCAATAGACTCAAATGTTCTTATATGAATAAGCATGGAGGTGGGAGAAAGTGGACAGAGGACAGAGATGGGTTAGGAAATAACTCTGGGATTTATCCTAGAAGACAGCAGGTTCTTCAACCTCTTCTTAAAGAGGGGGTAGAATTACCCCTTCTTCTCCCAAAAGTCACACACTGCAACATTCTTCCGAGGGGGTGGAAAGGACTCTCCCTGGCTTTTGGAGACCTAAGTTTTAAGCATTAAAGAGCACAGAATTCATTCTAGAGCACATAGATAGGCAAATGTCAATTAGAAATGGAAACATCTTAGTTATAGAGATCTTCTATTACCAGAAGGGCTTCCATAACTCCTGAGATTTCAGTCCCCATCTAACTTTCATGGTAGAGTACTTTCTGACTGGTTGCAGAACATCAGTATTACCCTTAAGGAGGTATGTATGTTTTATGATGCCTCTCCTTCTTCTAGTCTTCAGATCATGAGGCAGATCATGGCAGGGAAGGGGTGTGAGGAATCCTCGGTCATGGAGCTCCTTAAGGAAGCAGAGGAGATGAAACAGAACCTGGTAAGAAGTTGGAGGTACTCCAGCAACAGCCTCCTGAATAGGGATCAATTCCATTGCAGTGTCAGATGTGGAGAGAAAGACAGAGTACTCATCTCTGGCATCCGATGCTCCAACACACATATCTCCTTGATCTAGAAAGTCCAGGGCGACCCAAAGGGAGTCAGATGGAATGTTGGGAAGAACAGGACTAGCTAGCAAAAATTCTATTCTTTGACTTTTTAAAAACTTTTTATCTAGGGAGTTAATGAATATGACCATATTAACTCTTCATGTTTCAGAAAGAATAGTAAAATATCTGCTATAAAGAATAGAAAAACACCTATCAAAATAAAATAAAATAAATAGTTTGCTCTGTGGGATTCGTATAAGATTTTCTTTTAATCAGCAATGTAAAAGATCTTAAGAATTAAAATTAGTGGTCTAAGCCCCCAAGAAATGGTCATATAAGAACATCTTAAGTGTTAGGAACTCATTTCTATAGATATTATCTCACGATTATTATAATTAAAGTTATTACTTAAAAAATAACTTGGATTTTTTTTTTTACCATCATCATCATCATCATCATCACCACCAACAACATCTCTTATGTTGGATTTGGAGTTAGACCTGGATTTGGGGTTAGACCCATTCATTGCCTTCCTCTGTGGTTTACTATGTCCCTGGACCCTTTCCCACCATTATCTAGTAACTTCTTCCAAACCCACTTCAATGGCTGGACAAATACATGCTTCTGTTTGTTTGGTTCTTCCCCCTCCAACAGGAAAGGAAAAACAAGACGCTTCAGAAGGAAATGGAGATGCTATGGAACAAGGTGTGCCTCTAAGGATCTATTGAAAGCATTGCCCTACAGATCACAATGCAAAGAACCTCCCTTTCCTCTGGCCCCCATCCTCATTGTTTCATGTCCTTGCTTCCACCATGCCTCATTCCAATCCATTCTCTACACATTAGACAAGGTGAACTTTTTAAAACAAAGCATGTTACTCTTCTTATGAAAAACCTTTACAGCCACTAATTGTGGCATAATCTGGCTCTTGCCCACTCTTCAGTTTCCTCTCATAGATGTCCTTCCCTTGCTTTCTATGCAACTTTTTATGCCAAGCCTTTTCCTATCTCAAGGATTTTGCTCGTCTTCCCTACTGCCTGTAATGCTATTTTCTCATAGTTGGCTCATTCTCATCCTTCAGGTCTCAGCTTAAATGTCATCTCCTTAGAGAGGCCATCCTTGTTTCTCCATGTAAAGTAGGGCATCTTTCTCCTCTTTTCTATTATATAACTCTGCTCATGTGCTCAATAGCACTGTTTATAATATAAAATTATTATTATTATTGTAGTATTACTTTTTAAATTGTTTCTTGTTTCCCTGCCTCCTCTGTATCTTCTCAAGCTCCTTCAGTATCTTGATTGCTTTATCCGAATCTATAGCTCCTAGCACAATGCTTGGAACATAGTAGAGAATCGATAAATGTAAGTTGAATGAATAAACAAATGAATACCTAATTCTAATGACCCTATAATTTTACAATAATCACTGCATTGTTTAAGATAAAAATATTAGGACCTTTTGCTGGGAAACCAGAGCCAGGGAGTAGGGGGAAGGGGACAGGGAATTCCTTTGTTCCTTGTCTAAGACTTTGTCCAAGACTAATCCCTTGGGACCCAAGTGCTTCTTCACAGACTATGCAACTAGAAGAGTAGATTGTGTCTTGTGATATAAACAGGTATATAGTGGGATCTCTGTCTTTTTTTTTTTTATCTCACTTTTCCACAAATAATCAGAATACCTTAAAGCCCTGCATCTCGTATTGAGATGTGCTCCAGGTTCTTGTGGGCAGTTACAAATTAGTTCTATGAATTGTTAGAAGTTTTAGTTCTTGGATTCTCGAGTCCTTGTATTAGGAAATGTGCCAGCACAATTCCTCTATCTAAATCCAGCTTCTACAGAGCTCTCAAAAGGGACATCCATACACTTAACTCGTGATCAACTTTAGCTACTCGTATTTTAGTAAGAAGACATGGAGAAGAGCAGCAAGCCTAGTGTTCAAGAACACAGGCTTCAGAATCAGAAAGATCTGGTTCAAATTCCAACTCTGTACTTTCCTAGATGTGTGACCCTAAACAAATAACCTCTCCAAGTCTCAGTTTTCTCATCTATAATATGGAAACAAAAATGGTCCTCAAAGAACTGTGAAGATTAAATGAGAATGTCTGTAATGTAGTACAGTAAGGAAAATAAGTAGAGTAATGCAGTAAGTAGCTTAGGGTAGTGACTGGCTAAGGGTCCAGCTAATAGTTTTCATTCCTATAAGGTACACTCAAGGGACCGAATGAAAGAAGGGCTCACTACATTCTGACTTCCCTTTGGTAGTACACTTTTCATGCCAGGCCCTGAGAAGCTGCTGACAGGCAGGAACCAAAGCCTTGACCCATACTGGTTTTCCACTTCCCTCTTTAATTTCCACTACTTTAAAGCTTTGCCAAAATGTCTTTCCACAGACATTCGAGGCAGAAGAACTCAGTGATCAACAAAAAGCACCACAGATAAAAAACAAGGCAGACTTGCAGGATGGAAAGGCAAGTGGACTGCATGTACTTAAAATTTCAAGATCGTCAATGTCACACCGCTGGAAACAGCCTGCTGACAATCAGGGCTAATTTGGGTAGGCAGATAGGTAGGATCTGGGTTTTTAGGGTTTATTAGATTTATGACCTGCTGAGACATTGCACTTCTTTCCTGGAACCTCTTATTCCTTTAGCTCTCTTCTTTCATCCCAGGCTCCCAAATCCCCCTCATCACCTAGGAAGACTGAGAGTGAACTGGAGAAATCATTTGCAGAGAAAGTGAAGGATATAAGGAAGGTAGTACAGCCATTCTGAATGGTAGTGGCTTTTAGAACTAGTAAATTAGAAATCTTTAATGTTGCAGTAATTTGCCCAAGCTATGGTGTGCTCTTGGACCAATTTTTATAGATTTGGTTCCCCTGTGTTACTATATTTAAGTCAGAGTGATATCACAAGTTTCTGGGAAATCATATTAGGAAAAAGTGAGAGAAGCTATACCAACAATGATAACTCTGCAACAGCTAAATGATGTCAGAACTCCTGTTCATTTGTCTTTGAAAATGTATTCAGTTTTTCAGGTATTATGTTTGTATCTCATCTTCCCATAAACAACTCACCAACAGAAAATAACTCTATTCATTTGGCTTTTAGAGGGTGGCTTGTACAGTTGAGGCCAATTAAGAGAATCCTGCAGTTAAAGTCAATTTAATAGTAAATTGTGACACTATAATTTTGCTATAAGGCTTTTGCAGCATATTGAAAAAACTGATTTCTGATCTCAATTTACTTTGTCACCCAGAGGCTCTTTCTTCCACCAGGAAAAGCAACAGAGGAAAATGGAATGGGTCAAGTATCAGGAACAAAACAACATCCTTCAGGTACTAAGGTCTTCCAAGGCTGGATATAGGATGCAATTTCATTCATATAATACAAAGGCTTTTAGCTGCATATTGTGAAGCCCAGTCCCCACATCCTAGATTACCAATTGCCCTGCTAAAACAAATGTGTCATAGAAAGATAGCTGAAGGGACCTATCTCTGAAATTGGAATAAATGGTATTTCTTCCTATGTTCTTGATTTTGTTCTATTCTAAATGGGGAAAAATAACAAATACTTTCTACCCAACTTTTAAAGACTGAGCATGATGGAATTACTTTTTAACTTCTGAGTAAAGAGGATTCAGGTAACAATGGATTCAGAGAAGCCAATCCTATATGTGTAGTTTTGGAAAATGTTCTTTTCAGAATGATTTTCATGGCAAAGTGATTCAGCTGAGAATTGAAGCCTTGAAGAACTACCAGAAGGCCAATGACCTGAAATTATCACTGTATTTGCAGCAGAATTTTGAGCCAATACAAGCATTTTTAAATCTTCCTGGGTCCCAAGGTAGGTAGAATATCCCAGGTACACAGTTTGAGGTTTTGTTTTGTTTGTTTTATATTGGAGACTTTTACTTGTAAAGTGAGCAACATAATGCCTGGCACATAGTAAGTTAAATGTTAGTAGTACAGTAACAATTTTTTTCATTATTTTTATTTCTTTATTTATTTTGAGACAGAGTCTTGCTCTGTTGCCCAGGCTGGAGTGCAGTGGCGCGACCTCGGCTCACTGCTACCTCTGCCCCCTGGGTCCCAGTTCAAGCAATTCTCCTGCCTCAGCCTCCCGAGTAGCTGGGATTACAGGCATGCAACACCATGCCCAGCTAATTTTTGTATTTTTAGTAAAGACGGGGTTTCACCATGTTGGCCAGGCTGGTTTTGAACTCCTGACCTCGTGATCCACCCACATTCTACCTCCTAAAGTGCTGGGATTACAGGTGTGAGCCACCGCGCCCGGCCTATCATGACTTTTATGACTCAGAAGCTTATGTACTAAGGCAAATATTCTCTCTGGGAGAATTGTTTTCCTTTGTAAAGACAAAGTAATATATTACATACTTAGCATATGTAGCTGATACATAGTTAGCACTCAATAAAATATGTTTCCTTTCCACCTCATCCCCTTTTCTAGGAATTAGAATTGTTTAATCTTATTAATCTGGCTGGAATAGACTCCGCTACTTCAAAGTAGGCGGCCAAGGAGACAGACATCTGACAATGGTTGTGAATTTCATCCAGTTGTCCCTCTGAGAGTTTCAGCGATTTCCCCACAGAATTTATGGCAATATTAGAGAAAATAATATAGTTCATTAAAAAATAGAATATAGGGGTGGCTCTGAGGACAGGGAAAAGGTTCTTAAATTTTCACGTATCTATGAATATGAACTCCATTTTTTAAAAGGGACCGGCAATGGGAAATCATGGCCAAGGGATGACAATGTTCTATTAGTATCAGTGTGTATGTTTCTAATTTCTTAGTCTTATTCTGTAAAGGGCTTAAACAGCTTATAAAAATCACAGTCAACACATAGGGTTAAATAAATATATGAGTAAATCAAAGAAAAGGGAAAATAAGTTGAAGCTGGGCAAATACACAAGAATGCATAATGGGAGTACTGTACAGCTGGCAGAGGTAGGCTACAAATTTGGTTCTGAATTTTCCAGTAAAAAGAAACATGGATTTGCAAAACTCATGAAATAACAACAAACCAATTAATTGCTCAGGAGAAACAGTTTTTCCTGGTGTTGAAATCTGAGAGAAATTTCTCCTCCAGGACCATATAATGGGGGCAGGACATTGTGTGATGATAGTCGCCAATGTCTTCAACAATATTTCAAAATAAATTCAGAATCCAAATTTCCTAGGTTGTTTCTCCTCTGTTCTTTGGCATAATCTGATAAAAACATATTAATCTGAATTTTTTTAAGTGATGAATTGACTCAAGATGATTTGATTCAGGTACATAAGACTCCCTGGTCTGGCTTGATCCACAGGTAAATTTTAGAAAACTAGAAGACTGGACTGACTATCCTTCAGGCAGTATTCCATGCATATTTTTCTTTCAACTTATGTTCTAATAATAATCGGACAGCATAAAATTGGAAAGAAACCTGGAATGCAACCAGAAGCAGTATTAAATCATTAAGATACAAATTTAAAAGATAGAGAAGAGGGTTATGAGGAAGACAGATAGGTCCCTGTTTTACTTCATTCAAAATTAGCTGAAGGTCATCTCAAGGGATCTATAGGGTAAAGAGCCAAAAGCTTTTTAGCTCCAGAATCAAATTAAGTCTAAATTAGTAAATAAGGGTTCCATTCAACTTGATTGTTTCAGGAGATATTTTTCCCCTTGCATGTAAAACATTGAATCAACTTTGAATTGGAACAGCCACAGATCCACACCTTCTTTTCTTTGCTTTCCTTTTATGTTCCTGGAGAATTAAATGATAGGGTATCATACTGCTTAGTTACCACAGATTAATGTAGCCACAGGCAATGGATCAGTGTGTTATATTGATTCTGCATTCATTTAGCACTAATTATGGGCCAGTTTCATTTTTTAACACACGTATTCAAACTCTATAGGTTTGTCTGAGCACAAGTGGATTTGAAACCTAATGGAGTCCTATATTTTGGTTATGTGGCCTATTTTTTTCACCTCTAGTATTTGATTATTGAAAAGAAGACAAATATTCTCTTCATAAAGGATTTTAAAAGTAATTATGTAAAGAAGTTAATACCAACAGTAATAATTTCTTAATGGTAGGTGTTGTAGTATTTTCCAACTTTGTGTATCACTGGGGCTATTATTTATTATTTGCTGTTTACACTGATTTCTTTAGTTTCCTAAATGCATTCCTTGAAAGTAAAAGTTTTATTACTACTTTAAATGAAGAATCAATATAGTTTTCCATAATAGAAGGTAAACTTCATAATAAATACACACAAAAAAACAAGATTTTAATGTTCTAGAAAAATACATAAGCCTGAGATCTATTTTATCTCCTATAGGAAGCGAGATTAGAAAGACATAGAGAATTTTGGCCAGGCACGGTGGCTCATGCCTGTAATCCTAGCACTTTGGGAAGCCAAGGCAGGTGGATCATGAGGTCAGGAGATCAAGACCATCCTGGTTAACATGGTGAAACCCCATCTCTACAAGAAAATACAAAAAATTAGCCAGGTGTGGTGGCACATGCCTATAGTCCCAGATACTCAGGAGGCTGAGGCAGGAGAATCGCTTGAACCTGGGAGGCAGAGGTTGCAGTGAGCTGAGATCGCACCACTGCACTCCAGCCTGGGTGACAGAGCAAGACTTTATATCAAAAAAAAAAAAAAAAAAAAAAAAAAAGACAGAGAATTTTAAAGAAAGCCAGCACCAAACTGCAACTTTCTCCTTGATGCCATCAAGTTTGAAATAATTGAAAAGGCAATAATTTTCTCACTGTGATTTATAGTATTTAATGCCATGTTCCAACACTGAAACTTATCCCAATTGCCACCTAAAATCATCTCATCATCAAATTTTGGCAAATTGTAATTTAATGAAAAAAGCATGAATTTAGACCGAGATACATGAGTTGCAGGCCTTCCTCTGAGGCTCACCAGTTATATGACTTGGGAAAGTCACTTAATTTCAGTTTTTAAAAATACAAACAATACTAACATGGAGTATGTTAACAACTTAATATCTTGTGTAACCGTCACAGTGACTCTATGAAAGGTATTATAGAACAAGAAACAAGCTCAGAGAAGCCAGGCTTCTGGCTCCATATTCAATCCTTATTTGCTAGATTATGCTACAAAATGGATGTGTAAAAGTATGTGACTTTTCATGCCTCTTCTAGATCTAAACGCTATAATTTGAATACAAATTTATTATCTGTTTATAATGTATAATCTTCCCAGTGAAGAATCATACTCCCTAAGGTTAATTTGTTGAGCAGGAGATTGGTAATTCTGCATTTAGCCCAGTAGGTGGCACCAACCACATCCAGGCTTCAAGTCCACAGAGTGGTAATTCAGGAACCATGAAATGCTGTGGGAGAGATCCGTCTTCTATTACTCTCAGGACAAAAGGTGCCACATTTATGTATCAAACGAAAAAAGGAAAAAATTTCTTGATGTTTTATCACACGGTCTTTTGGCAGCAAGGTATATTACTGGCAGCCTTGATTAGACCATGTTAAACTCAGTGTTCTGTTGCATAATTTTTACCTAGTATTTTACTCCCTGTACTACAGTTCTCTCCATTTCAAAAAAGTCACTGCCCACTTCCTCCACAATCCTTGTAGAATAGTGTTCCCTTCTACCACAGATAAATCACGTGATTGGGGCACTAAAATGAAAAATAAAAGATGGTGTTTATTTGAAGTTTGTATACTTAATAGTGTTATAGGACAGTGTTCCTTCTTCTCTAGTTTCAAAAGAATTGAACTGCACAAACCTGTCTTAGAGAAAGGGCAGAATATAATTTTGGACACACCTCTCAATAAATCAGGGTACAGGCTCTTCTGTTCTAAGCATTTCCAAGTAGAGGAAGGGTTTACCTCAGTACCCTTAGCCAAGAACTCCTCCTCCCACTGTCCTATGTGCTGGTTGGCTGAGTTGCAGTGGTATGATCTGTGTAGCTGGCAAAATACAATCCTGTGCTAATATTACTGATTTTGTTACACATCAACAAATCCCTACTTTTGAATTCCCTTGATGCCCAGGATGTGGCATTACCATCATCCATGTTATCTTTGGCATGCTGCATCACTTAGTCTGTTTACACCTACGGTGAAGTCTTTACTTTTGATTTTTCTGGAGACAGGTGACATTTGAAAGGATTTACTTTCCCACCAGTGTAAAATTATAATTTGACTCAGGGTGTATTGTAGGCCCTCCCTAACTTCTACAGAGTCCAGAAAGCAAGTTTGTGGACTTTGGCAGTCACCTATCTTAGAGAGCACAGGCGCTAAGCAATCTCTAAATTCAACTGAATTTCCCATCATATCTCCTGGTGTTTAAAGAAGAGGTTTATCTTCAGCAATGATATAACTTGTGTTAAGACATTTGATTCTGACAGCTTTTCTTTTCTCTCCTCCCCTCAATCCCCACCAACTCTTAGCATTTCCTTGAGGTCTTCTGAGAAAAACCTGAAGGTTGGTTGTATTATGCTACACTTATAAATTCAGATGAAAGCCCAGCGAGGTGGGAAATGAATACTCTTGAAACCTTATTTACTCTCTAACTCCTTCTGTTCTGAAAGCAAGTCATTCTTCCTGGCTTTAACCTTTACTTCACTTTAGTATTTTTCTTCCTGATGGCTGAACTATACTTCAGCAGGTGCTGCTGAAGGGAAAATAGTAGTGTTAAGCTAAAATGCTGAAAGGCAGGGGCGGAAAACCACAGCTAGCTCAAATCCGGGTCCTTGATAAGTAGTACTGTTGCTTTCAAGTACAGGCTTTTTCAAGCTTTGAGGCAACATGAACCTTTTGAATGTCAAAGTTAGGTTTATGGTATTAATAGGTTATAAAGTTAATTTCTAAACTAAGTCATTCTTTTACTTCTTTAAGACCTCACAGAAATTCAGGGGGAGAAAAACTTTTTTTTCCCCCCTAAATATAAATTTTGAAGCTTGACAAAATAAACTGTACCCTTATTAATATTATTTTAATGGGTGACAACAAATTCCATAATTTGTGGGCATCACCCACTCAGGAGTGCAGCAGTATGTCTAGGAAAGTGTTATCATATTTAGCAAATAAAAAAAGGATACCCTATTAAATTTGAATTTCACCAAATAATTTGTAGTATGTGTGTCCCAAATATTTCATGAGATATATGAAACATTATTTGGTGTTTATATTAAAATTCAAATTTAACTGGGTGTCCCATATTTAAGTCTGGCAACTCTAATTTAGGACAGACTTACTATGGGTCTTACTGAGCACCCTATAATTCTCCCTTTTTCTCCTTTTCATTGCCTCCCTTCCCCTTCTCACCCTACGCCTGCCATTCTCTATGCTTCCTCTTTCTCTTCCCCCATCTTTATCTTTTGTTTACTCTCCACTATCTACAATTGACCATTTTTGTGAAATATATCTATCTGGTTTATCTGAGGGTATGTATATATACACATAACTTATTATTCCACTTTTTTATTTACTTGCATATAATTCTTAAATGAATTTTCCCCCTGTGGGACATGAGTTCTTAACAGAAAAATAGTCTGCCACTCCAACTTCTTAAATAATGTTTGACAAAGTTATTTTCAAAAAAAAAAAAAACAAAAAACAAAATTCACATCAATGCTAATACCCACAGTGATACAAAACAAAACAAAACTAGTTTTTTGGTTTTTTGTTTTTCCCTCCTCAAAAGAAGCTCTTGTTTTCCTAATGTTTTCCCCTAGGTACTATGGGCACTACAACTATGGACAGAGTGACTACTGGCAGAAATGAACACCAGGTGGTGAGAACTACTTTCTTTAAACAAACCAAAAATCATTTTAAGGGCTTGAATAGATAGTGGGTATAGACTTTTGGAATGCATTGCTTAACATATATTCTAATTTAATATTTTAGGAGATTTGCAAAGTGGGTGCTAGGGTACTCAATATTTTAGCTGTCCTTTTTCCTCTGTTTTTTCCTGTCTTAGAGAATTCTGGGAGCAAAGATCTACACAGAACAACAAGGAACTAAAGGAAGTCAGCCTGATGATGCAGGAGGGAGGCTCTTTTTTCTGAGGTCACTGTCAGATGAAGCACTGAAGAATTAGCAGGCTTTCACTCCATTTGCTTTGGACAGATTTAAAGACAAGGCATAGCCATTTGTGTTAATTAAAATCTCTCAAACCTTTGTTTTAGTGCTGTTTTCCCTCTCTCCCCCCACCAATCTGGGTGGAAATGTTGGATGTTTGGCCTTAAACGTGTATGGAATGTAGTCATTTAGGGATTGTAAACAGCCTCTGATTATTTTGATAGCTTTTGGATTTGAAGTGACCACATTTCAACCCATTGTACAATATGTTTTTACTAAGTCCATAAAAAGGAACTCCCCTCCACTTCTGAAGTATGTAATTGTGGACAGATCCACCACTGGGAAATGAGCAAAAGTAGGCACAAAATAAGTAAAATTACATACCACAGACTTCTTTCACTCTCTCACCAAAAACATCAAAATGCCCTGTTGATTCTGCCACCTTGTTATCTATTCCTTGAGTATCATCCACCTTCCTAGTACCACTGTGGTTTTTTACTTGTTTTTGTTTTTTCCCCTAGGCCCTCCTTCCTGCCTGGATTACTATAGCCTCTTAATTGGTTTCCCTGCTTCCAATCCCTCTAATTCGTCTTCCACAGTACCACTGAAGCTATCTTTTATAAAACATAAATGAGATCATGTCACTCCCCTACTGGTTTCTTGCTGAAGTCCAAGGTCCTTTACAGACCATAAATGATCTGCCTCCTGTCTACCTTCTCCGTCTCATTTTTCACTATGTACCCCTTCTCTCATACATTCCACATTGAGCTCCACATTACTGTTAATATTTACAGTTCTCTCCCCATGTATCATGAGTTCTATTAGCTCCACGCACAAAGTGGAAAGACACTTCTATCCTGTAGCTATGACCATTGCCTGTTTGTCTTAAGGACTGAATGTGCTGCCCTTCTATCCCACTAATTCTCAATCCTAGCTGTGTACTGGAATCCCCTTAAGAGCTTTGAAAAATAGCATTCTACTGGGTCCCACCCCAGATAATTTAAATTATGGTAACTGAGCGATAGGACAAAAGCATCCGTATGCTTTAAAAGCTTCTCAGGAAATTCTAATGTACAATCAGGTTTGAGACTTGTTGCTAGGCTCTCTTACTTTTGTCATAGCACTAAATGAATTCTATCGCAATTATTGATTTATCCAGCTACCTTCCTCACAAAGTCGTGAGCTCTTTGAAACCCGGTATTCTATCTCGTTATCTTTTCATTTGACTGCCTAACACAGTGCGTAGTATTTTAAAGAGGCTCAGTAAATGACATGTAGAAGGCCACAGAAAGTTAATTTCCAAGTCCCAGGTCTCTTGATGTCCTGCCTTGTGTAAATTACCACTGGATTATATCATAGTTCCTGAGATCTTCAGATATTTTCTTCTCCTCTAAGTTGTCATTAATTTCCTATCTCATGTCAGTATAGAAGAGTTGATTTGTCACAAAACACTTCATAATCTGTAGGAATCCCTCATACTTTCTGGTAATAAGCAAAGTGAGCCAGCCAATTCAAAATCTTCTTTTTCTCAAAGTCAATTTAAATCCTTAAAGACGCATTTTAAAGATGAATTTTTTAAATGTACTTTTGCACTGGAAAAGGTTTACAAGAAATCACAGAATTTTGGCATTAGAAGGAACTTTAAATAACTATAAAGTTTCCTTTGCTTTCCAAAAAAGGAAACTGGAGTTCAGATACATTGAAAAGGTGTCTAAATTCCTTCAGTTAATTGGAGCCAGAGCTGGTTACCGGAGCCCAGGTATTAATACTGCCAGTTCATATTCCAATCTAACTTGTATCTTTCCTCTCCTAACCACAAAAATAATGGGCTCTTAAACACTGAGGTGATTACTTTCATATTCTACCAACTGAGTTAGTGGAGTATGTAATTTATATTGTTTCAAGAAAGCCATCACTGTACTTATTTAGTCCCTGGGAGATTCTGGCAGTCCTGAGAGATTTTCCAAGTCAATTGGATTAGATGGAGCAATGAGAACAAAAGATAAAAATATAAAATCTGAATGTACTACTGATTACCTTGAACTAGTCATTTAACCTTAGGGCTTTAGATTCCGAATTTTAAAATTAAATTAAAAGACTATCATTTGAATGTTTTAAAATTATGTTGTTGTTGTTTTTTTTTTAACCACTACAATGAGTTTGGATTAGTATATGACCTTCCCCCCCCCTGCTTTTTTTTTTTTAACTAACACATGGAATAAAGTAGTTTACTTGGTAGCTGAGGTTGTAACTTCTAAAAAAGTGAATTATTCGCCATTGTCAAAGTATTTACATTCTATGTTCATTATCAGTCAGGCTTAACATCTTTCCCTCAAATGTTCCAAATCTTTCCATTTTTTCAAAACACAAAACTGGGATAGCCTGTTATTCTACTTTGTCTTTAGGACTTCATATTGGATTCTGACTTTCATAAGGGCAGCATAAAGTTATCAGTTAGATTGGGTGACTCCTCATGAGTGTCTGCATTTCAGTGAATCCAGGAAATGGATCTCAGTTTTGTGAGTACAGACAAATTCATATGGTCAACTTATTCAAAAGGTCAGAGAGTTATTCAAGCAACTTAAACTCCCTAGAGATTAACTGATACATCCAATATTAAATTACAGAGAGGGCTATAACTTACAACTTGGTGGGAATATGTCTATATTGTCTATATTTAGGGTATTCCTATCTCTAAATCAAGTTATAGTAAACTGAACTAGTAATCAAAAAGTACTTGGGATTGAAACATCATTATTATAGTTTTATTTGTACTCATAATATTCTAATTATATTCCTCTGAGAATAAAATCTCTGATAACCTTAACCCCATATGGGCAATACTTTTCAAGTTCAAGGTCAATTGAGGAAAAACCTGTTCCACCAGCAATACATTTACAAATCATTAACTTTGGGTAGACTACTTTTGTAGCTTATCTCATTTATTTTATCTTGACTTTCTAGCTATGTAGAGGATATTGGCTAACATTCTACCCCAAAAAGTTGCCTTTCTGCATTGCCAGAAAGTGATTAGTAATGTTTGTCACACTTCTTTCCTAAATGAAATAAGGCCAACAACAGCTTGATACTTTCATCTTTAGTCTAGAATTACAATAATCAAAGAGGGGAAGCGACAATGCACAACATTTTGCCTTACACTCATAGATCCAGGCAGAAAATCTAGTTTTAGTGTTGTTTATGTGAACAATGGCCACCTTAGATGGTGTCTCTCCTTTTATTGGTAGAGGCTTCTGTAATCTGTTGCGCAACAAGTAAAATCTCTATTGGTCCCTCTGGCACCTTGGAAGGAGCCTGCATTGCTACCAATTCAAAGTCCCTATTGCTTCATATGTTCTGTATTTAGTCAACAAATATTAGGAAATGGGAAGAGAACAAGGTCCTGTGCTGGAAAGGGAGGCTTGCTCTGCAACCAATCAATTCACGGCAGGAGATGCACAGGCAGATACATATGACATATAATTATTACACGGTAAAATTGAGAATCTTCAGGCCAACTAAAAAATCCATCTTCTCTACTTCTTTCACAAATTCACTTATGATTCCTAACGTGAAAACTTACTTAAGGTTCATTTTAAGTATAAAACATGATATAAACATTCCTAGAAACTGTATTTCCCCCAATTATTAGTCAACCTGGGGAAAATGAGATTACTTAGGTTAACAAAATAAGTTTTGTTTTGTACATTGCTTTTTAAGAAAAAATATTTTTCTGGGGACGCTGGGCTTTAAGATAAATTTTAGTTAAATGGAAACCAATGAACAACGGTAGAAAAGCACGATGCTTTTGATTTTTCAAAAGGTCCATTTGAAGTCAATCCATGTCAGTTTTTAAGCTTGAAACTATCTTTTCTTGACATATATACTGAATCCTAAAAACTGAAGGCATTGCAGACAGAGCCCTTTTAAGAAATCAAATAGCTTCTGGGGCAATTAATATTACTTTCCGATTTAGCAAATCTCATTTTCCTTTCCCATATCTAAAAATCTTTCCCTCTTCTAGAAAATACTGCCCTTCTCTTCTATGGTGTACCTTTTTTTTGTTTGTTTTTGTTTTTTTCAGGAGGGAGAAAAATCAGTGCTTTCTTTAGAAATCAAATTTTTTTCTTCCTGGTTTTCTTATCAGATACACAGCCACATAAAGTGGAAACATTGTACATTTGTAAATTGTCAGTACATACCTAGGAAGAACTTCTCTACCTTCTGAATATTAATATGTGACTATGTAGGCAGATTTAAAGGTATATAAACTGGAGTGCGCAGGAAAGAATAACCTCTATGGTATAAGGGAGAGAGAGGAATTTGGTATTTGCTTTATACGTGCTTTGTGGATTGGCACATGATGTAAATCTATGATTCTCAGTTTTGGTTCCTGGGATCTTTTACATTCTTAAAAACTGAGGACTTTATGGAGCTTTTGCTTATATAGGTGACATGGTTTGGCTCTGTGTCGTGTCCCCACCCAAATATCATCTTGAATTGTACTCCCATAATTCCAAGGTGTTGTGGGAGGGACCCGGGGGAGATAGTTGAATCATGAGGGTAGTTTCCCTCATACTGTTCTCATGGTAGTGAATAAGTCTCATGAGAGCTGATGGTTTTAACAGGGGCTTCTGCTTTTGTGTCTTCCTCATTCTCTCTTTGCCTGCTGCCATCCACGTAAGATGTGACTTGCTCCTCCTTGCCTTCCGC